GTTCGAAATAGCCGACTGGCGGCCATTTTGTTTTAAAGAATTCAGTTCTGGATCCGTATCCGAGACATGTCTGGATTGATCAAGTTCAAACTTCACACACACAAGGTACATCATGTCACAAATATGTATGTGCATTTGTTTCATGATCTCATTAACGATAGCCAAATGGGGGCCGCTTTAAGGCCGAAAATGCATTGAAATCGCACATTTTCACCATTCCGGACCCGTATCTCAGTTATGCATGGATGGATTTTGTTCAGATTTAGCACAATGTGTTGTACATATGCAGGTGCATTTCGGTCATAATCTGCTTTGAATGTATATGTCACTCAAATATGAACGGAACGGGGACGTGTCATTGACAATGACTTGTTCACCATGTGACAGATTGAGGGGGATATTACGTCTTTGAGGGAAAATAAAATTACAAAATTAGTTGCATTGTCATTGACTTTTACAATGAAGAAACAGAAATGGTCACACAAATTTGCTCATTTTGTTACAATATTAATTTGTACCACTCGAATTTACGAGGTTAAAAATATTAGTCTGCTGGAACACTCAAAGTCAAAATCTTCATCATTATCTCGACTGGCAAATGTGTTGGATCATACACAAACTCTCAATGAAAAGCACTTTTCGCATTGACCTGCAACAACGTCCTTTGACCTGGGTCAAGTCTGTTATTAACCAATCAGAATGCTGTGTGGTACCGACACAATTTCTCGGAAATTCCTGAAGACTTTCTGGTAACGCAATGCAGAAGTGAATTATCAATGTAGTAACTAGCAATTTTTGATAAGTGAACTAAATATGGCAAGAAATATTTACAGCATTTTACTTTTATTGAAAGGTCACTGTCAAAGCATAGTTTACACATGGTTACCGTGGTCTACGCATTCACAACTCGACAGTCTATATCCATGCTGCATCATATAAAAATGATTACCAGTATTCATAAAGCAACAATCAAAGACCAAGCTTTAAATTAGTGGAATTTTGAAGGGGTGGGTGCTTTGCCGAATGTGATCCCGAATATAAAAATTGCGGAAAAGTGGGGTGTGGGCGCTTGACCGGGCATGGCACTAACGTGGTTGAGTACGGTAATTGATAAAATTAAATACATGCATTATATCTATGAAATGTATCTTTTTAAGGCATGCGTGGTATAAATCAGAAGATACTGCATTTATGATGTGTTAAGTGCATTATCTACCTTACAAATAAGTTGCGTTTCAAACTACCTTGAGACACTACTGATGACATCCCACCACATTGTTCTGTCTTGCATCAGCCATGGAAGTTTGTTTCTTTTCATGCCAGTATCTTATTTTTGCTGCTCTATACAGGTTTTAGCTTGCCAGCCTCTTCTGTTCTGTTTTGTTTAGCATAATATTTCTATTTCAAAATATATTATGTTCACTAAACTTAATATTTTTTTTTGCTTTTTCAACAGACAATGATAACAATAATTAAAGAGAGATTGGAGCAGAGAATATGTGACGAAGTAATGGAAATAGCATGGAGTACATTGTGGAATGTGACTGGTGAGTGTGCTATATTACTTACACTACTGTACTGTATCCATAGCATGGAGTACATTGTGGAATGTGACTGGTAAGTGTGCTATATTATTTAAATTTGACATTTTATTTTTGATTTCAGACGAGACTTCTGAGAATTGTAAAATGTTCCTGGATGGCGACGGGATGCAGTTGTTTTTATCATGTCTCTCAGTAAGTGTACTAATTATGTCCCAACTGCTACAAGCACATTTAGTAAATTTTGTATTATATTTTTTTAAATTCAGTTGACAGTTTTCAGAAAGGAATTACTCCAACCAAAGTAATGGGTACGTTTACATTGCATACACCGCGTACACCTGGGTGAACTTGATTATATGCACCATGGTACACATGGGTGGACTTGATTGTATGCACCATGGTACACCTGGGTGGACTTGATTGTATGCACCATGGTACACCTGGGTGGACTTGATTGTATGCACGATGGTACACCTGGGTGGACTTGATTGCATGCACCGGGGTACACCTGGGTGAACTTGATTATATGCACCATGGAACACCTGGGTGGACTTGATTGTATGCACCATGGTACACCTGGGTGGACTTGATTGTATGCACCATGGTACACCTGGATAACGTCATTGTATACACCATGGTACACCTGGGTGGACTTGATTGTATGTTCCGCGTTACACCTGGGTGGACTTGATTGTATGCACCTTGGTACACCTGGGTGGACTTGATTGCATGCACCGGGGTACACCTGGGTGGACTTGATCGTATACACCATGCTATACCTGGGTGGACTTGATTGCATGCACCATGGAACACCTGGGTGGACTTGATTATATGCACCATGGTACACCTGGGTGGACTTGATTGTATGCACCATGGAACACCTGGGTGGACTTGATTATATGCACCATGGTACACCTGGGTGGACTTGATTGCATGCACCGGGGTACACCTGGGTGGACTTGATCGTATACACCATGCTATACCTGGGTGGACTTGATTGCATGCACCATGGAACACCTGGGTGGACTTGATTATATGCACCATGGTACACCTGGGTGGACTTGATTGCATGCACCGGGGTACACCTGGGTGGACTTGATCGTATACACCATGCTATACCTGGGTGGACTTGATTGCATGCACCATGGAACACCTGGGTGGACTTGATTATATGCACCATGGTATACCTGGGTGGACTTGATTGTATGCACCATGGTATACCTGGGTGGACTTGATTGTATGCACCATGGTACACCTGGGTGGACTTGATTGTATGCACCATGGTACACCTGGGTGGACTTGATTGTATGCTCCGCTTTACACTTGGGTGGACTTGATTGCATGCACCGGGGTACACCTGGGTGGACTTGATCGTATACACCATGCTATACCTGGGTGGACTTGATTGCATGCACCATGATACACCTGGTGGACTTGATTGTATGCACCATGGTACACCTGGGTGGACTTGATCGTATACACCATGCTATACCTGGGTGGACTTGATTGCATGCACCATGGTATACCTGGGTGGACTTGATTGTATGCACCATGGTATACCTGGGTGGACTTGATTGTATGCACCGGGGTACACCTGGGTGGACTTGATCGTATACACCATGCTATACCTGGGTGGACTTGATTGTATGCACCATAGTACACCTGGGTGGACTTGATTGTATACACCATGGTATACCTGGGTGGACTTGATTGCATGCACCATGGTATACCTGGTGGACTTGATTGTATACACCATGGTATACCTGGGTGGACTTGATTGTATGCACCATGGTATACCTGGTGGACTTGATTGTATGCACCATGGTACACCTGGGTGGACTTGATTGTATGCACCATATTACACCTGGGTGGACTTGATTGTATACACCATGGTACACCTGGGTGGACTTGATTGTGTGCTCCGTGTTAAACGTGGGTGGACTTGATTGTATACACCATGGTACACCTGGATGAACTTAATTGTATGCAATGTGGTTCACATGGTGGACTTGATTGTATGTACCGCGATACACCTGGGTGGACTTGATTGTATGCACTATGGTACACCTGGGTGGACTTAATTGTATGCAATGGTGGACTTGATTGTATGTACCGCGATACACCTGGGTGGACTTAATTGTATGCACCATGGTACACCTGGGTGGACTTAATTGTATGCACCATGGTACACCTGAATGGACTTAATTGTATGCAATGGTGGACTTGATTGTATGTACCGCGATACACCTGGGTGGACTTGATTGTATGCACTATGGTACACCTGGCTGCACCAGTTAAACCACATGAATTCTGGTTTATTTCTCGATTGTCCATGTCCTAATTGGTTGACTTCCCATGTGATAGGCATATGCAAGTTCATTCAGTATCGTTGACCCCACATATCATACCTAGCCTATCACATCAGTTCAACTCACCTTTGTCTGTGTATTTGCAATGCATATTTATACCATTCGTTATTTTCACATTTATTGCAATAAATTTTACGTGACGTAGGATTTTGTGACATTCTAAATGACTTTGACATTGTAGATATTTAAAGAGACGCCAGAATTGCTACGTAATATGATGGGATTAATGGGCAATGTGGCTGAAGTAGAAGTACTTCGACCTCAGCTTGTCAAATATACAAATGTATTCAGGTAAGTAATGCATACATACTTTCTTCACTTCTGTCCAGTCTGATTAAAATAAGATCCTTGTTTGGGCTTTTATTTTAATTTGTGTTTAATTATTAGTCCCCGTTCGGACGAAGTCCGAAAACGGGGACTTATAATTCGGTCTCCGTCCGTCCGTGTGTCCGTCCGGAGTCATATCTCAGAATCCCTTGGACCGATTCCGTTCATTCTTTGCATGTGCCTAGTACTTTATGTAGGACATATGCACATGCAGTGGTTTAGCGATTCGATTCAAAATGGCCGACTGGCAGCCATCTTGTTTTTTGAAAATGTGGTATTTTTTACATGCTTTGTCAGTTGTCATTCAAACTCCATGACGATTTATTTCGCAATTGGATCAAAGATGGTCGACTGGCAGGCATCTTGTTTTTGTTTTTTTTATGCGGTATCTTGGACGTGCTCTGTCAGTTTTCATTCAAATTTGGCATGTACTTTATACATGTTAGGATGCATGTCCATGACAATTTGTTTCAAATTCTGGTCAAGGATGGCCGATTGACAGCCATCTGACTTTTTGGCCTTACTACTATATTTCCACAATTTATGTACTATTTTCATTCGTATTTGGCACATACATGTACATCATACATATCAGTGTGTTTCATAATCAGATCAAAGATGGCTGAATAACGGCTGTTTTTATTTTGGCCATATTACTATGACACGAAACACGTGTTTTGATGTAAATAAACAATCTGTTGTATACGCCACTTGGAACTCAAGTTTCAAGGACACGCTCGCGACAACCCCTCCGCTTTAATATGACGAGCACAAAGAGAACTTAACGGGGACTGTGTCATTGTTTATTTTTATTATATATTTATATATATGACTGTGTCATTGTTTATTTTTATTATATATTTTCTTTTAAATTATTTTATTAACTTTATGAGTACCGACGGCGTACTAAAATAATTAACAAACAATTGCAAAGTCCAAGAAAAAGATTGTGTTGCGTGTCGTGGGTTTCATTTTGAAAACAATCATCTTAATCAAAGGTTGGCCAGGGAAGATGCCGGAAATGGTGGTTTACACAAGTTAATTTTTCAATTGCCTTTGAAGGCTGAAAATTCATGTTTCGTCGTCTACTGGACAATTTATTTAATTTTTCATTTTACTGACGTGTTTTTTGGCCATATTTTTTTGTAAGTTGCACGAAACATGGCCAGACATTTAGAACGTCATGCTCCAGAAATCTAAATGCACAGCTGTCAATTACTTTCATATAGAGTTATTGTACATTATATTGATCCATTTTGATGAATATTTACAGCAATGGCTTAAATACCGTAGATGATTTGGCCTCATCAACAAAACATCACCTGTCTCCAGGGCAAACGACCGGAAAAAGTTACCGGTATTTGGTCAAACTGGTTGAAAAAAATCATCACTCCCAGAATAACCACTGGCCATGCAAAATAACGACCTAAACTGGAACCATTAAGCCACATTATAAGCATAAACATCATAGATGATTTTCGTTGCATTTGACAATGATAAACGAAAAGCGATGTTTTTCCCGATCATTTTCATTGCTAACATCGGTATAATCAGTGATCGCGCTAGGTTTCTACAAGTTGCGTATATCGAATGCATCAGTCACAAACAAATGCGTTTCCACAGATCATCAACGCGTACACCCACTTAACACACGACACATGTTTAATTTTAGTAGTTTTTATTAACAGCACGTTTTTTATACAATGTTGCAAACTAAGTATTTCAAGCCACAGTTAGTATTAAAGTGCGTTACCTTCACAATTTGCGACGATCTTTTTTCTGATGATAAAGTTCAAGTGCACGATCAAAATCAAAACGATCTGTTGGTGGTCCGTGCAT